CTTGCTGCAGATCCTTCTGTGAGCTCCAGCGTGGCCAGGATGTTTTTGGAACCAAGGATGCCATCCAGAGCTGTTTAATGGAATGCCCCCTCTGCCAACGCTCTCAGAACAGCCACCATCATCACCCCATGAAAGTGTCCCCACACCCCACCTTGACAACAGTGGGTTGTGACTCATCCAGCTGGAAGCCAGGTCTTCCTCTCAGGGATGAGCGTTGTTCCTGTGGTTCTTCTGGAGAGGATGACTTGGCTGATCTTACCTATCATTTTAGAATGAGGATAATACTTCCACATCAGAAAATCCATCTTTTCCCCCAGTTATTGAAAAGATCGGCTAAACTGGTCAGATTTCACTTAATTCCATTCCAGGAGTCAACAGGGAGTCTCACTGGTTGGTACCTGGATCAAAAGTCCTTTTGCAATAGAGCTTCCATGCCCTTGCATCCTATCTTGGACAAGCTGGTAAAGTACAGCAGACACCCCACACTGTTCCTCCTGTGTCAAAAGAAATGGAGAGAAAATACATCCTCCCTGAGCATGTGCTCTGTTATGTCTCTCAATCTGCACACGGGAGTGTGGTGGTTGAGGCCGCAGTGGTGAGGGAGAAGGCAGGCCCGGAGCACAGTACTGCACCCCAAAAGCCAGAACTGTGACACCTGAATTCCTTTGGCCAAAGGGTTTACCAGTTCACAGCTGCAGCCCTTCCTGTTGTGGACTATTAAATTTATGTAGCCAGACGGCAAAGCTGAGCTCTGGAAGAAAGTTTCTGTGCTAGCAAAATGTCTTCCACAGGACCAGTGTCAGACCCTCCAGGCTGTCGTTCTCGAGGGTGCAGGCCTGGTCAGGCATCAGGTGCAAGCAGCCTTTGACACGGATACAGTGGCAAGAGCTGCTGCCTCAGGGGTAGGTGCCCAGCAGTCTGCTTGGCTACAAGCCTCCAGCTTCCACGAGGAGGTCCAAACAAATCTTGAGAACTTATCCTACATAGGGGAGAATCTTTCCGAGGAACAGGTGGAAGCTGCTTTACGAAGAGCCGAAGAGAGGCTGGCCATGCTGCGCTTCCTGAGGCCAGTGCACTGTCCCTTGGCACCCCAGCGTGGTTGGTAAGAGGAAAGCTCTGCATAAGCTGGCATTCACATCCACTCTTTGTTTCAAGCATGTGCACGGCCCTTATGGGAAGGGTGCCCCACCACAGCAGCAGGAGGTGCTTTCCATCCAGCAAAAAGAAAAGGGGATTCAAAAAGCTTGAGGCATTTAGCTGGTAAATCATGTTTGGTAAACTGACACCCATCAGTGAGGTGACTCGGTCTGCCTATTTCCTTCCGTTTCTGCGTTTCAAGTCCTAAGCCCTATTATGTGTGACTAGAAAACAAAAGCGTGTCCAAATCTCCATTCCTTAGTTCCTGAGAGTGTTCTAATAAACCATCTTATTGTGGACAGTCTGATTCCTCTTGGCAAAGACGCTAGGCTGTGGGAAGGAGGAGTACATCCTAATGTGAAAGCTAAAGAACCAGGAAAGTTCAAGATACTCATGGATTCCTTCTGTCCCTCCCAGACCAAGGCAAGAGGCTGCTGGTTCAGCTTCCTGCCAGAGCTGTGGCAACACACTTTCTCAGCAGCGGCGTGTTTTGAAGGCAGTGTACAAACCTTTGCCAGAGTCGCTTACCCGCATGGTTGAGGCTCATTTTCAGCACAGAGACAGTTTGGCTGGCTCTTGCATTTTGTCAGTCCAATGTCAATCTGTTAGTTTTCTTTCAATTGAAATGTTTCTCTCTCAAGAAGGAAATGTCAGCAAGAATTCAAGTAATGTCTGCCACTGCTGTTTGTATTGTAAGTGGCTGAAAGTATTTTTTTTCTCCCCCAGGACTCGTCTAGCTGGAAAAGTGATTGTCATCACTTTCCAAACTAACTGTTCTGCTGCAGTTAACTCATACTCTTTGCTATGAAATGACTTTGCATTTATTCTTAAATAAACTTTACTTCAAACTAGAGAGTCTTGATGTGGGAAGTTTTTCTCAAGTCACTGTCATGATTGATTTCTCCTTTGTAGGCAAGGTACAGTGTCCCTTAATTCTTGTTAAAATAGGTTGGCTGAACCATTGCACGGAAATACAGCTCAGATCAGGACACAGCTCAGCCATTTGCATCTGTTGGGCTTGTGTTTTGTACTGGGAAATTTTATAATACGAAGTTACAGCTCCAGATACTTGTTTACACTGGGGCTCACATTATCACTGGAGGGGAAATCACTCAGCAGTCTAAAAATAACCTGAAACCTTCCGCAGACAGGAAGGTTCTGCTATTAGCAGAAAGGGAAGTGTCTCAAAGTAGCCACAAGGGAGTGATACAAGCAGTGACTTGCCTTTTGGGTAGCTCTCAGCATTGCTTGTCCTGAAGCCTATCACGGGACTCACAGTTCAGCATCACACGTGGCTTCTCCTGAGATGGTGCCCTGCTGGGTGTCTCTCAGCAGACAACAACAGAGCTTCACCAACATGGACCGTAATTAAGTGAACCTTGATGTGCCTACTTGGTACAAAGGGGCTTAATTCAGCCCCATCCTGCCCTGATGGGGCAGACAGGATCAGCGATGCGTGAGAACAGGTGGCTGAGTCCGTGTCGGCTGGAGCTGCGCAGCGAGCCTCTGCATGGGGTGTTGGTGGACTCGTGGAGAGGAACGACTTGGAAGGAGCAGGTTCAGCCCAGCCACCGACAGAGCCTGCGGGTGCCCATGAGGATACTTACAGGTCCCGACTGCAGACCCTCTTCCAGGTGCTGACAGATGGCTGCATCCTGCTCGTTGCACTTGCTTTTATTTGGCCTTGAGGCGAACCTCTCCTTCCCCAGGACCAGTAATGTTTCTGAAGCAGCAACATCTTGTGCATCTATCTGGGCTATTTCGTGGCAAATCACACATCTGGAGGCAGTGCAGTGCTTGACTGCAACCTTTTCTTTGAGAATTCTAAAAGCTCTCCCGACAAGGCACAAACCTGCTCCAGTGGAGCTGTACACATAACTGGGCCTCCTCTCCCCTGGCAAAGCTGGGAAAAAAAATGAGGCTTATTTGGCTTTATCTGGAATGAGGTTTTTTTCTGAATAAGCTTCTCTGGGGATGAAATGGAGGGTGGGCAGCAGAGAGGCAAACCCAGAGAGTATGGGAGCAAGATCAAAGAGATACCCACAGTGTAGGTGGCGTGAGAGAGGTGAGACATCACAAGAAGTGTCACACACCCACAGGAGAAGCAGCAGGGAGCCATGGGCACTGTGTGGCTCATAACTGTGGCTCCCAAGGGTTTTATAGCATCCTTGAAACCCCTGGGTAGTCCAAACTTACAAGGAGCCTAGCAAGGATGCAGTGAGGCTTGCATGGGGCTGGTAGCCAAGGTGTCTGAGATGTTATACATGCACCTACAAGGTGATGCCTCCTCCAAAAACCCTAGCAAGAGCACAAAGGATGTGTCAAGCCACATGCAGCCCCTCCTGCACATGCCAGCTGAGATTAATCACCACAGCTGGCTCTAAGGCGAGCAGGGCAGGGCTGTTGCAATGGGATAGACCAACAAGAGTGAGAGCACCAGTAGCAGCGTGGGGGAAAAAACCCTCACAGCAGGTTGGAAAAGCAGCTCTAGGGGAGAAACAAGTGGGAGGGTTGTGGTGGGACAGGGGGAGCATGCTGATGCCATGCTCCCCCTCCATGTCATCCCAGTGTCTACTCCTCCAGTCCGGGGCATGTTCTGACTGTGGGCATCACTGCACTGCCATCTCCTGCCACTCCTCTGTCCGCTAGTGTAATGAATATGGCAGTTCTTTACCTCTCTCCACTGCAGCGGCCCCCACTTCATCCCCTCACATCAGATCACTCACCAGTCCCTTGGAGATGTTTCAACATCCACTGGCTGCTCTCAGCAGTGCCAAAAATTTCTTTACTAAAAAGCCAAGCCATAAATATCACTAGATCACCCTCACAGGAGCTGGGCGTCAATGGGGGCACCAGGGATAACAGCAGTACCTGTGGGTCTGTCTGTCCCAAATAGCGAGGGACCCGTGGCTGCATCTCGGGGCAGGCAGACTTGCCACCTCGACCCGTGTCCCTGCCAGAAACCTCTGCGTCACTCCTGCCTCAAACACACATTCAGGTGCTCGTGGGCTTATCGCACGAGAGGGCCGTGCGGGGTGCCCAAGCACTGAAGCACTCTGGCTCAGGAGAAGCAAAAAAGTCCCAACAGTGGGTAAATCGTTCAAATTACCAGCACAGATCAGTGCTCCAGTGTGGTGGGTGTTGTGCCTGGCTGGTGGTGACACAGGTAGGTGTATCCCCAGGGCTGAGCTATGCCCAGCAGTCACACACACTGCACCTCTGGGAAACCTTTAAGTGGCCCAAAGCATTGAAAAGGGGAGAGCGTAGTACAGCCACCAGCTTTGGCGGTGCCACCTCTGCCTGCACTGCCACTGCTGCCACAGCAAGCCCAGTCCTTGCATTCACACTGGCTCTAAGTGACACAAAGGGATTTGCCATTATCTGGAAATCCAAGATGAAGCTCCAAAAGCATCTCTCCAAAAAGCAGGGCTGCGTTGGAGCATGCCAGCACTATGGGTCCTGTGCCTACCTCCATCACGCCATCTCAAATGCGTTTCCCCCTGGCGCAGAGATGCCGTCCCTCATCACACGCAGCTGGTGGCTTCTGGAAAGGGCGTGGGTCTGCAGGATGTGTGAGCTCTGGCTTCCAGCTGAGATGCCCAAGGAGCTCTGGTGTTTTTATGAGTCAGGAGATGCCTGAATAACCCACTATCCAGTTTCTTCCCTCTCCAGCCCCAACCTCAGCTCCCTTTGCCCCAGCTTCTGCCACCACTTGCTGCCTGCCGCACGTGGTGCAGAGCGCACAACCCACAGAGGAAAAACCCTGAGCGACAAACCCCAGTCCTGGGGGCGGGGTGGCGGAGGCGAGGCTGGAGAGCAGAACCAAAAGCCTGTGCAGCCCAGCCTGCCAGCTCGCTACCCCAGCCCCTCAGCTGCCAGCACCCCATGCCGAGGCAGGATGGAGGATTTAGGTAAGCCAGGACCCTCCAGAGCCAGGCCCATGCTCGGGCCTGGTGCGGGGTTGTGCCTTCAGCAGCTCGCGGGAGCCTTGTCCTTCCCCTACACCAGGGTCAGGTGGGGATGCTGCAGAGGGGGCAGCAGTGGAGCCACACGGGATCCCTGCCACTCCTTCCCCCATCTCAGGGGATGAAGGGGGCCCAGGCAGCTGAGCGAGCGTTTGGACAAAAATGGAGAACGCTTGAAGACAGGAAACAGGCTGCAGTGACGGAACGGGGCCGAGCAGCCCAAGGGTGTGGAACAACATCCGAGGGTGCCGGGAGTCATCCCTGGCCTGGGGTGGGGGAGATGGGGCCAGGGAAGCAGCTGCTGGGGGGGGGATCCCCCCTGTTTCCCGACATGAGAGCAGTGAGGTGGCAAGGTTAAAGCAGAAAGAGAAAGCGCTTCGCCGTGCCTGCAGGAAGTGCCAATCGGGGTGCACGGAAAGCACTGAGATTTCCCTGAGCAATCCTGGGCCAGGGCTTGTGCTGGGATGAATTTAAAGGCTGGTGGATGTTTCTTTATAAGCCAGAGATAGTATGTGGGGGAAGCAGGAGCCCTGTTGCCAGCAGTGCCCCGTGCTTCAGGAAGGTGCACAGTGCGGTCAGCACATCCTGTGTTGGGGAGGGGGGGTCCAGGTGAGGGTGCTCAGGGCCACCACCATCCCTCAGAGCCCTGGCTGTCAAGCTGCTATGACAGTGCTTTTACTCCTGACATTTCAGGAGTAGCACAAGACTGCTTAGGAGGGCACACAGGAGCAGGGAGCAGCCAGTGGCTAGGGTGCCTGACCTGGGTCTCTCTGTGCAGATGCTTTGCTGGCAGAACTGGAGCAGAGCTCTCGCCCGGCCCCCAAGGACTGCGTGCTGCAGGTGCCAAGCTCCTACAAGCAGGATTTGGCCACAGCTGGGCCCCCAGCCCCCCGTGGCCATGAGCCACTTGCCTCAGCGGCTGTGAAGGTAATGCCTCAACACAGTGGGGCGGGTGGCTGAGACCCTGCTCAGCTCGTGACAGGGGTGGTGGTGCTGGACGGGTGGTGAAGAGTGCCAGGGGAGCATCCTATGGGCTCACCCACAAGAGTTTCTTCTTCAGGTGCAGCTGCCACCTCGGGCTTCAAAACCTCCAGAAGAGGATTTGAAGACAGTGTACAGGTAAAATGGGGCTGTGGGAGGCAGTGAAGCCATTTGGGGCTACCCTTTCCATTGCTTGGGTGCATTCCCTGGAGTTGCCTGGCCTCATGCATATCGCCCCAAAAAACATGTCCTTCTGCAAGCTGGGGTGGGGAGGGTGCATCCTGCATGCCTGCAGCATTGCTGGGGTGAGGACTGGGCTTCCAGCAGATCACCCCCCCTCCCACAACATACGGCCGCTCCCCACCAGCACATCCCCGGGGAGGCCCCTGTCCCCCATCCCCTGCTGTGGCCTATGAAGAAAGGGCAGCATCTCACAGGGGTGGAGGGTTCTCGGCCCCGACCGTGCTCTGGCCTCAGGCTGGAAGCCACAGCATCCCTCACTCTCTGCCGTGCTCAGCAGCTCGGTGCTGGTCCCGCCGCCGCGTCTCTCCTCGCCTCCGCCCACAGCAACTGCCTGGCAGCTGGAGGAGCTCCTGGCCGACCTGGGCCACATGCAGAATAAGGTGAGCTTTGGCTCTGGGGCAAGGAGTTGGGGGGCCTGGCCCTCACCCAGCTCTCACCATGCTCCTGCCTGGCAGCTGGCAGTTGCAGGACAGGGAGCTGGGGTGCCAGTGGACACCTCATCCTCACTGGACAACATGCTGGGCAGTCTCGCCCAGGACCTGCAGGAGCTGGGCATCAGCACTGCCACTGCTGGCGTCTGCGCCGCCTGCCACAAGCCCATCGCCGGCAAGGTGAGCTCCCCACACCTCCACCCTGCTGCCCCTCTCCCCTTGGCTCACAGCATCCTCTGGAGCTGCTCTCGCTGCCCCCCACCTCCCCACAGGTGCTCACAGCCCTGGGCAAAACCTGGCACTCTGAACACTTCACCTGCACCCGCTGTGGGCAGGAGCTGGGCGGCTGCCCCTTCTTCGAGCGGGGTGGGCAGGCATACTGCCAGGAGGACTACTACCAGGCCTTCACCCCCCGCTGCGCTTACTGTGCCGGCCCCATCTGTGAGGTAAGACCCCCCCCGGGCCT